TATCCACGTCTTCGATCTCTTCCTATGGTCTATTTTGCCCGGCTGGGCCCTCTAACCCACTGCTGAAGAAAACCGATTCAGAAGACACGCGCCCTGCTCCTTGCCGACGCAGTCTGGACGGCCCTCGCTCTTTCATCATTAATTATGTCTGCGGTGCAATTTTAAAAGACACTCGTTATCAGCTTGAGGGAAGCTCCTTTTTATTCCTAATTTGCTTACATTTTTTATAATCATAATTGAATGTAGAATTGTATCAATTTTCTACATGAATCAAGATAATTATATCATTTTAAATCTTATTCTATTAATGTGGTGGATCGCAGAGATTCATTTTCAAACATCAAGCCAACGCTACAGCTCTGGGAAGAATCCCACTGGGTTGTGGGACATTGTCACTTCTTGATCTTGCTGGATGTGATTTGCTAACATCTTATTAAGACTTTCTGCATCTGATGTTAATCCATGTTGCTCTCTAATTTACTTTTCTTGCACTGTATGTCAGACACGGGTAGCAGATTAGCCATCTTCATGAGATGATGGGGTAATGCCCTGGGAGTATTCGGAAAGAACAAGGAAGCCTGATGCTTTGCCTTCCTTACAATGTGCCAGCAAAACTCCATGGGATCGAGGCATTGTTTGTAAGATGGTCCTGGTAATATACTCAGGTATATATGTTTGTAAATGTATGCACTCCCATATTATATATACACACGCCCTTAACATAGGTATATATGCACATATTATAACATATACCTTTAACATGGGAACACACACGCACACAGATCTATCTATGACCTATGACAAGCACAAAGGTTATCTCAGGTCAGTTTCAGTCATTTACTAGCTTACCCATTTCAATCGAGGGCCAAACCCACTGATCACATAATAGTCTCTTATACTACTTTGATGTTGGTATTTATAGTGTCCGTAGCTATCCCATCTTTCTCTTCCCTGGTGAGGCAGGGACTTGAACCTGGGGCTCATGCAGGCAGAGCAGCGCCCTCCCACTGTCTTTCTTACAATCAGTCACTGTTGGAAATATTTCCTTATTTAACTTGTGGTTTCATCTTTGTCTTATAGGTTATCTAGAAGGGTACCAGTAAGGGCCCCAAATTTAGGGTTCTTCTGAGTATTTTACTAGCATTTTCTAACTTGATCCTCATGTGGCTGGTGAACAGACACTTAGTTTAAAAATGTATTGCTAGTTTTTATATTTGCAGATTAGATTATTCCTGTTAATTTATCTTCAGATTCCCTTACTTATCCTTCCTTCGTCTCCAGTCCACTGCTAAATACCTCCAGGGAAGTTGCCATTCCCGTTAGTTTTCCCCTCTGCAGTGTCCATTTTGTTCCTTTGTGGTATTGTCTTCAGAGACTGTCCTCTCTGTTCACTCATTGTGAATAATGAGGTCCTGGGGTATATTTTTTGTTGTTTGCTGAGTAGTATCCTTCTGTGTAGCCAAGGCTAGCCTCAAACTCACTATGTAGTGTAGACTAGCCTTGAACTCATCATCCTCTTGCCCTAGCTTCATGAGTGCTGCATACACAAGTGTTCACCATGTCAGGCCAACTTCTTGAATACATTTTTAGGGGTTTCTTCATGAACTCACGTGCTAACCACAATATGTTTGTCATCTAGCTGTCAGCTTCTAGCAACTTCTTCCATGTCTTCACTATGGGTCACAGCTTCTTATTAATTTCAAAGTCTGGCAACTTATTTATTTCTTCTTAATTATGTGTCTGTATGGGTTTATGCATGTGAGTGAAGGTATCTGTGAGGCCAAAGGGAGCACAGGAGCTGGAGCTGCAGGCTACTATGAGGTACCCAGTGCGGTTGCTGGAAACTGGCCTTGGATCCTCTGCACTGAGCCATATCTCCAGCTCCATGTTGGACATTTAATAAATATCGTAGTACATGTTGGTAGAGCCCCTTGATTCTGTGACAGTCCCCTGCAAATGCTGTAGCATATGTTTGTGGAGCCCCTTGATCCTGGTAGTCCCCTGAAGACTGGTTTCCATTCCTGTGGGCCTGACTCTTCCAACTGTCACCCATTCAGTGCACAGAAGCTGAAGGCTTTTTCCTTTGGTTTCCAGCACGGATTAGGGGGTCTCCCTACAAGTTTAGTTAGTGATCAGTCAAGGATTTGGGTAGAATTTATACACAATTTATATTGTGCACCCTTCTCAGTCTCCCTTGAGACTTCTGCCATCCCCCCCCCCCCATGTCTCTGTACAACTGTTCTTTGTTGCTCAACTGGGGATGTAAGACATCTGATCTAAGCTGCATGTGACCACGCACAGTTAACAACATCTATGAATCCTGCCCAACATAAACCATAAACTTAACATGAGAGGTTTTGAGGGTTTTGTTTGTTTGGTCTTGGCTTTGGGAGCTCGACCTTGGCTTTTACATGTACACTTTGCAGACAGCAGTGTCGCTTGAATGCCTGCTAGGCTGTGTAGATCAGAGTAGCCACGGGTCTTCATTTCAGGACGGTATTTTTTTTTTTTGAGCTTTAAAATGCCTACTTGACCTTTTCACAACACAGAGGGTAGCAGTCTAATGAAAGTCTATCTTCTATTTGAAAGTCCCTGCCTTATATGCCTGGTGACTCTAGATTCTAGACATCTGTGACTCTGTTCCTGTGGGCTTTCTGTGTACTTGTTCATTCCATCTTATACCTAGAAATTTTTGGTTAAATGCCTAAGTTTTTCTGTGAGAAATCATAGTAGCTTTTGCAAAAGGTCTGTTTTCTGGGTGCCAAATGGAGCCCGAGGCAGGCACTCTGTCTAGACTCTACACGGATGTTCTGCATATAAGGATGCTGCTGTTTTTGTCATGTCCTTCCCGTAGTGTGGCTGAATGACAGAGCCTGTCAGGTCCCCTGGCCCAGCCGAATGAGAGGAGCATCTTCATGGAATGCTCCCTCTTTTTTGACATCTTACGGGTATCAGAGGCTCTGCTTAGCGTGCTGGTGTCTCAGAAGCTCCCTGCTTTAGCTTTCTTTCTGAGAACATTCAGCTTTGCAGCATGCAGCTGCAGACAAAAAACTGTCTCCCTGTGGCTCCTCATCCTCTCACTGGAACCCCCAAACTCAACCTCCAAAGCCCAGCGAGACTGGGAACCCACTTCTGATCCAAGAAGGAGATGACTGAGATCAACTGGGACTTGTCAAAATACTCTTCTCCCTGGGGTCCAGATCCACTGTGTTTCTCCCTTGGTGGTCTTCTGATAACTTAAACCAGCTTCTAGTAATTTTTCAGCTTTAATATTATTGGAGGTGTGTCAGAAAATGCTCCAAGAATGGAGTCGTATGAGGAGACTTCTGAATGCTTGTGAGAAAACACCAAGAAAGCAAGATAAGAGTCTTATGACCTCAGTTTCTTCAAAACACAGAATTGTCCTTGGAATGCTTTTTCGTGCTCCTCCCAGGTGTAGCAGGTAGTTTACTTAGGATTACTTATTATTGCTTGCTGTTGCTTTCAAGTAAATGCCTCTATGGAAAAACATGTTTTTGCCACATGCTGCTTGTCCTTGTGATTGCCTACTTTACACGTGTGATTCTCTTTAGCCCTCAGAATATAATTTGCCTGTGCTCTAAATAAAGTAGCTACTGCAGAGGTTTTAGTCCACTTTACTCATCAGCTCTGTTCTCCAGGTCCCACTGCTTCTAGATTGGTAAAAAGAGGTGGTATTAGATGGTTGTCAACTTCATTATAACCATAGCAACTTCCCAGAGCACAGCCATGCCTAGAGGCCACCACAGCACAGCAGGAGGTGTCTTCCTTGGCAGGTAGTCTCAGCAAGAAAGTTAATTTGATGACAAAAAGAAGATTCATTTAAAAATGTACATTTATTTATCTATTATCCGTCCGTCTGTCCGTCCGTCCGTCCGTGTGTGTGTGTGTGTGTGTGTGTGCGCATGCATACTTGTGTCACAGTGTGCCAGAAAGTCAAAAGAAAGCGCGTAGTAGTAGATGCTCTCTTTCCAGTGTGTGGGTCCTGGGGATTGAACTCAGGCCATCAGGTTTGGTAGAAAGTGTCTTTACCTGCTGAGCCACCTTGGCAACCCTAAGATTCAGTTCTACTACCTTCAGGCTATTCAATACCGAAATGTTTTAAACAGAGTTATCTTTGAAACCCCTTTTTAAAAGAGGCTCTCTTACTATTTACTGCCTGAGACCAAGGTCAGTTCATTTACACCCCCCCCCCAACTGCCCCATTGTTCTTAATTCTATGTATTTTTACATGCTGGCTTCCATTACTTTTGTTTATATGCAGTTTTGATTTGCATTTGAGGCAGTTTAAGAGATTTATGTTGAAATCTTTGAACTCATACAAGTTGGTGAGCATTATTACCCAGAAGCACCTACAAAGTCACCACTTAGTTTTTTAAAAATTCATGTGCAAGCAAACTAGTCTTTTACTAATTAACTTTGAAAAGGAAAGCCTAATTGCATAATGCAAGATTTACTAGGTGACAGTCAACAGCCAGACTTGATTCTCTGTCGCAGTCTAAATAATACCGCAGCTCATTTCATTCTGCTTCGTTTCACACAGGGACTCATTATACAGCCCTGCTCACCTTGCCCTCAATCCTCTTCCTCGGTTGCTGCTATAGACAGAGAAAGGACATGGTTCCTTAACCCTTTGGTGCACATACGTTAGAGCCTTAGAGAATGCATACACAGCTGTGTATGTATATGTGTCTGCACACAGTCTCTTCATGAGTTACCTACATGTTTAACTGGAAGCTTCAGTGAATGTCAGTAACATCTAATTTGGTTTGCATAACAGTTATTCAGAATTGATGTTAATATATTCGATCAAGTACTTGCTTGAAGTGTCTGCTACTCATTTAATAAAAGGACACATGACCTCCCAAGAAGCCCTTCAGTGGTGGCTACATCCTGATAGGATTGAGGAAGAGTGAGTGGAGGAGACAAGGAAAGGACAGAAGGCAGAGAGGTCACAGAAGGCCTCTGCAGAACATTTTCACTAGCATTTTTGGCTTGTTTGGGGGTACACTCACCCCGCATGGCTAAGGGCTTGAGGCTCACATCTTCTTCCATCCAGCAGATTTTGGACTGCACAGGGGTCTGGACGTCCTCGCTGGCTCTGGTCTCCTTCTCTGGGCTGACAGTTTTGAACGAGGGTGAGACGTAGAGTGTCTCCACAGAGGACTGGTTGTGGAACATGAACTCTGCCTTGGACATCCTCAGACCCAGGCTGACAAACTCATCTTTACCAGACGGCCTACATGCCTGTGAAGGTGCCAGTGTTTCAAAGCTTTCTACAGCCATCTGCTTTTCCTGAGGAGTTTGTGGGGTACTTCCTGTGGTAGTATTTGTGATGGTTTCCTCCAATCTCTTGACTAAACCCATATTTGTCTGCATTGATGGTCTTTTTTCTGAGGGAATAGACATGGCATCTGTAAAATAGCAAGTAGCCCCAAATTAAAACTGAAACGTTCCATTTAAAATCCACTTTAATAAACAGGATCTTTCTTATTTGGTCTTCTGCTTTCCTACAAGGCTGGTGTGTTCTATTTCAAGTACCCCTGAGCTATAACTGATGCCTTAGTCATTTGGGGGCTGCTTCTCCCTCTCTCAGCAGCACTGAAACTCAAGGCACAGATTTCCAATAACTTCCCTTTAAATCTTTCTCCCTTCACCCACTCATCTGTCTCTGAGCTACTATATTGTCAGTACCTTCAAGCCTTCATCCTTTACATGATAAACTAGACAAAATATACATCATTCTATCCTTATGGAGCCCTTCATCTCTCCTGGAATGAAGGTTGTCTCTTCCCAGGAGGCACATTCAGAAACTCCTCAGGGGCAGCATCATTTTATTGAATCTTTTGTCTATGCAGAAGACAACACATTCTTTTACAGAATTGTTTTGATTGTTACTACAATGTAAACTTTCTGTTCATCTTGTCACTAAATAGCCACAAATACATCGAAGCACCAGGAGAGCCTGGAACAGAAGGGGCTGATGCATTGTAAGAAACCAAAACCTCAGGTGAACCTGGGTTGGGACCACTGCCTGAAACCACACATCTTGACTGAATTTCTAGATGGACTGGATCCCAACCCTCAGTATGAGGGACTGTTCTCAGATAGTTTCATCCTAACCTGGAAATGGACAGAAAAAATGTTTCTTAAGAGATTGGGTTCTTACAATTAGAATCACAACACAGTGAGAGGGGGTATGCTTACTCCCCAGCACTTCCACCAGGGAGGAGGTCACTGCCAGGCGATTAAAAACATCCCAAAGTACACTGTATGATCCTTCAGAGTGCACACATGCAGGCTCTCAGCACCTCCAGAGGTTGCAGAAAACTTCTGGTGTTTGTTTACCCAGGAGTAGAAAGTTCAAGAAACTTATATGAGTCGCTTTAGTGTCGTGGTGCAGCTAGTCTCGGTTTGTGTGTAGTCACTTAGCAAAGATGCCTGAAGAAATTCAGATCCAAGACCAACCAGTGGAGGAGGAAGAGGTTAGGACTTTTGCCTTTAAGGCAAAAAATTTCCAATTAACGTCCTTGATCATCAATAGTTTCTATTTGAATGAAGAAATCTTCCTGAGGGCGCTCATTTCAAATTCATTAGACCTTCTGGGTAAGATCAGAGACGAGAGTTTGACAGATCCTAGTAAACTACTCAGGGAAGGAGCTGCACATTAATCTCTTTACCAACAAACAAGATCAAACCAGCACTAGAACTGGAATGGCCAAGACTGACTTGATCAACAGCCTTGGCACTGCTGCCCAGACTGGCACCAAAGCCTTCATGGAGACCTTGCAGACTGGTGCAGATATCTCTGCGACTGGCCAGTCTGGTGTTGCTTTCCACTCTGTGTATTTGGTTGCAGAGAAAGTGACTGTGGTCACCAAGAATGATGATGAGCAGCGTGCCTGAGTCCTCAGCAGGGGCGTCTTTCTAGTGAAGACTGACTCAGGGAACCAAAGGTTTTCATCTGAATGAAAGAAGGCCGAGCTGAGTATTCGGAGGAAATGAGAATAAAGGAAGTTGGGAAGAAACATTCTCAGCTTATTGGCTACTCCATCACTCTCTCTGTGGAGAAGGAGACATGATAAGGAAGCCCGTGATGATGAGGCTGAAGAAAAACGAGATAAAGAGGAGGAGAAAGAAAAAGAAGAACAGGAGTCTGATGACAAGCCTGAAACAGAAGATATTGGTTCCCATGACAAAGAGAAGGACAGTAACAAGAAGGAGGTTTTAATGGAGCGCAAGGGTCAGGAAGAATTAAACAGCAGAGCCACTTGGCCCAGAGATCCTGAAGACATTGCTAATGGAGACTGCGGAGGGTCCCAAGAGCCTAACCAACAAGTGGGAAGGGAACTGGCAGCAAAGCGGTTTTTTATGTTGAAGGACAATTGGAATTCTGAGCTCTTCTTTTTGTCCCAAGATTTGCTCCTTTTGATCTGTTTGGAAACAGAAAGAAAAAAAAAAGAAAAAGAAGATTGAGTTGTACATACACTGAGTTTTCAGTATGGGTAACTGTGAGGAGTTAATCTCTGAGTATCTGAAGTTCACTAGAGGGGCGGCGGAGTCCAAGGCTCTCCCTCTAAGTATTTGCCACGAAATGTCACAGCAAAGCAGAAACTTGAAAGTTATCAGAAAAAAAAATTGGTCAAAAAATGCTTGAGCCACCCGCTGACCTGGAAGAAGATGCAGCGAACTACAGAAAGTTTTATGAATGCTTCTCAAAAAATATAAAGCTCGGAATTCATGAAGCCTCTCAAAATTAGAAGCAGCTTCCAGAGTGGCTGTGCTTCTGCACACCTGCTTCTGGGGATGAGGTGGCTCCTCTCAGGGAGGACGGCCCAGAGTGAATGAGAACCAGGAGCACATCCATTTTATCCCAGCTGAGACCAACAACCAAGTAGCTAACTCGGAACATCTCTGACAGCATGACTGAGCAGCAATCTGTACAACTGAGCCCATAGATGATACAGTGAAGGACTTCACAGCTGAAGGACCTGAGGGCGAGACTGTAGTGTCCGTTATCAAAGAAGGACTGGGACTTCCAGAAGATGAAGAGGAGAAAAGGAAGACAGCAAGAGAAAAACAATGTTTGAAAACTTTTACAAAATTATAAAAGACATCTTAAAGGGAAAGGTTGAAAGGTCAAAGCGATTGGTGAAACCCTCATGGAATCGCCACAGAACATATGGGTGGACAGCCACCCATGGAGAGAGCCATGTGAGCCCAAGCCCTCAGGGACAACTCAATGACAGGTTACATGGCAGCAGAGAAACCCGGAGATAAACCCTGACCACTCCAGTACTGAAACCTGCAGGCGAAAGGTAGAGACTGACAAGAACGGCAAGTGTGTGAAGGGTCAGGTCATCCTGTCTTCCGGCTTCAGTCTGGAAGATCCCCAGACACATGTTAACAGGATCCAAGGGGTGATCAAGCTTGGTCTAGGAACTGATGAAGAGGATCCCACCTCAGATGACACCAGTGCTGCTCTAGCTGGAGTAATGCCCCCCCCCACGAAGGAGATGGTTAACACATGACCCACAGAAGGAGCAGACTAAGCTTCACCTGAAGAACCACGTGCTCAATGTTTCCTTTATTCCTTCTGATAATACAGTTTCAAGGAGTTGGGCAAGATTTAAAGTATCTGTGCGGCATGAAAACTAAGGGGAAGATAAAATTGCTTTCTGATTCTTAGACTGTGGCACTGCAGGCTTGTTTCAGCAGGTTGGAAGAACATTTGTTGAATGACATAAGGTAAGCAATCTGAACTGTTTAAGCTGTCGAGCTGGATTCCTTAGTAGACCAAATCACCTGTCACTGAAATGTCCTGAGATAGAGCTTCATGTCTAAATGGGGGAAAAAACTGTTAAGATGCCTTAAGTATCAACTTCTAGAATCTACTTTTGAAAATTTTTTATCCCTGTAGTGAATTCTGCATGTACTAACTAATCTTAGTTAAGGACTAATCTAAGAGGTAAGAACTCAAGCTGAAACAACTTAATAAGAAGTCCCCATGAAAACCCTAAGCTCCTAGCGGTCTTGTAACTCAGCGAGGCTTGCGAATGAAAGTACCCAGTCACATCTTGCTTTAAAAGGTAAATACAGAATGTGTGTGTGTGTGTGTGTGTGTGTGGAGAGAGAGAGAGAGAGAGAGAGAGAGAGAGAGAGAGAGGGAGAGAGAAGAGGGTGAGAAAGAGGGGAATTTATTTTGCTTTACACCAGAAATCATGCTTTTTCTAGTTGTCACATCTTTTCATTTTTAATTTTTTATTTTTTGGGGTTTTAAGACAATGTGTGACTCTGTAGTTGAGGTTAGCCTGGAATTCAGGTCCTGTGCCTTGCTCTTGAGTCCTGGGATTCCAGCTTTCTACTGTGCTATCTTTGGAAACTCAACTCACGTACTGCTTCCTCTTCAAAGCCTGCCCTGACCCTTCTGTCTATCCCTTCTGTCTTATTATGGCCTCCATGACCAAAGACTGGAGCCTGACGAGCAGCCATAACACTTCATTAGGTCAAGCCTTGTCCCAGGGTGATACAGCCACCCTGAGCTTTCTCTGTGTCCCAATGGTGCCAGTCCTGAAGGATGTACTCAATCAATGTCTTTTCAATGGAAGGAAAAATCCAGACACAAGAACCAAAGAGAAAGTAATGCTTTTGTTTTTCTAAATTTAACATAGTTTAACAACTTAATAACAATAAGAGGAAACAGAAAATTGGTAGATGAAAATAACCTCTTCTGAAATATTACTAATTTGCATATGACCCAGTTATATTTAGTTGGTAAAAGGCTTTGTTAGAAGCACTAATATATCCTAGTAGGAAACTGAAATCTTGGTATTTCAGAATTCATGTGTATGTTACTATATTTGCTTTAAAGCACTCCTTAAAGGGAATTTTAGTTAAATATTTCTCTTGATTCTCCATTATATTTGAGAGAAATGTTTTGCTTTTTATGTAACGAAATTTACTTTAAAATTCAGTGATATGTAAAATAGGACAGCCCAGGATGACCACGGCTTCGCCACGAAAATATCCTAACAACACTCAACCCAAATATCAGCATTGTCACGGGTGAAGACTTGAGATGCCATGTTAATACAAAAGCTTACAACTGAAGACAAGCTTAAGAGTTCAATGAGATGGCAGGGTCTAGTGAGAGGCATTCAGTGAGGGGCTCATGATGCAAGCTCTGCCATTATGGGAGGTGGAGGCAGGAAAACCAAGAGTTCAGGGCTTAGCTACAGGGAGAGTTCAAGGTCAGACTGAGCTATGTGAAACCCTACAGCAAAGAACCTAAATAAATAAGTAAATATCTTAAAATTTAACAAGACAAGTTTGACTAAAGTCCCTCTATTTCTATCAGTCCTTTCCTGACAACCTGACAGTCTAGGAAGAATAAACTGCAAACTGGTTGCCTGGA